GCTTGTGAGGTTTTTTCGCAAGCTCTCGGACAGGCACTGAGCATACAGTGCTTATTAATATACGTTGGGTAAGGGCAAACCTGTTATATGTAATTAAGAAGCATCCATCATTATGTGGTCCAGATTTAATACAACCTGAGTAAATTGCTCGACCGCTAATCATGAATTTTGAATTACTTGGTTTGATTAGTAAGGGACTGTTGGTTATACCCATTTATTGTACTTTCATACTCTTCGTATGTGTAATAGGCACAGTCATAGCTCCTCACACCCAGAGAAAATATTGTGTTGCATGCTTACATGCAATAGGAGTATCGTTATGTCATCACACAAATACACACAACTGTGTGCGATACAGTAAATGCAGAATACTGGTACCATTTGTCTTCTGTCAGATGAGGAAATATCTGAACTGATGGTGAGGATAACACTTCTCTTGAAACTTCAGTTGGTTGTCAAATTAATACAGACACAAAGAAACCTATATCCGAACATAAATTTACAAATGATTTTCTGAGGCATTGCATAAAACAAAAATGTTTCACATTCATGCAATTCATAAAAATAATATCATTTGTTGACATATTAAATGTTCCATTCCATCGACTTTACCTTGTGAAAAAGAACTCTGAATCTGTCATCTAATGATTTTTTTGTGCAATTGCACTCATAAACATGCACTATAGTATAACAAAATATGAACTTGAGTTTTCATTTGGTTCTTGAATTATCAAGGAAGAAACTTTTAAAATCAAAGTCTTTTTCTAGATTTTATACTAAGAAATATTTACCAGGTCACGCTATTTACATTCTGCATACTTTGCATTGGTAAGGTCTCTGAGTATACTGTTGCAATAGAAACTTTTTTAATTCTATTTATAGGCTTTCTATCCTATGGATCATGTCTATGAAATCAGAAGTGGTGATATCCTGGCAGCACGGTGTACTTATAACTCCCAGTCAAGGCAAACCATTACGCATGCAGGGTAAGTAATGTGCAAATGCTTCTCAGTGTCATTCTGAAACAAAGTAAGAATCAAATGTGGCAAAAAAGAATGATGACCATGTTACAGCCTTACAAGTTTTTGGTAAGCTTGGAAAAAAAAATTGTAATATTGCCATGGGGCAAAAATTGTACATGAAAAGATATAAAACCATAAAAATAAATACGGTAGAAATGATACGAATTTGAAAAAAAAACAATAAGATAACATTGCAAAAAACAATTGGTAATAAAAAATTGGACAGTCCTTTAGAAAAAGTCCCTGTTGTATACACCCCACACAAAAGGAAATGTAACAGATAATTTGTATTATTGCCCTGAGTCAACAATTGTACATAAAACTCATAAAACCATAAGAACAAGACATTTCATCATTTAAATGATAAAATACTTCATTCTCAGAATTTGTAAATTCTCAGTATTGTAAATCAGATATATGGGTGGAACAAGACCTGTGGATTTAACCTTAAAACCCACAATTTATAGCATAAATTAGCGGTCAAAATTAACTTCAATTTCTTGGTGGCCCGCAGGGCCAGTGGCAAGTGCACCACACTGGCCCTTGTGAAAATTTGGTGGCCCGCGGGTTGAGTACATGTACTGAAATCAATCAGGCCCACCACACATGCCCATTTGCATCAGTTGTGAACTTCTCTACCAAAACAGCTAATTGGGCAGCCTGGCTGGACTTAAATACACTTTTTAAGGCCCCCAAAATAGTTCTGCTTCTGGTTTTGGTGGCCCCGGGCCAGTGGACCACCGTTAATTTCGACCCCTGCACATCAAGCTTAATAAGTACAGTGTAGAATTATTTGCATTGGGAATGACCCACCTTAATTAGCATCCTCACTGTTGAAATACCAGTGTACATACAGTACTACACACTGCTTTGAGTAATACACAGTACATGCATGCCTAGCCTTGGTTCCACCTGTGGAGACTTACTGCACAAATAGACCTCTTCACTAATAAATCCATAATTATGCACTCATGGCCTTGGCAGCAAGGAGTGTGAGAGAGCCATTGAAAATGTACAGGGGTGCGACTTCGATGATAATTTTCTCTCAGGTTTTCTGACTTTGTTCAGAAAATCCCATTAAATCGTTTTTCTAATAGTTTCTTATTTAAGTTGAATTTTTACTGCTCTGTTAAAAGATTTTAAAATCGTTATTTTTCCTGTGTGCTCGAGATCGTTGTTTCTTAGTGTGGCCCCATTCCATCATAAGTTGTATAAACTACATCGTTAGTGTTTTTGGAGTCAACCTTTGCATTTTGCAAAAACACATACCGATGTTAAATGTACATTTTTACTCTACGTACATGTACATACCTTACCATTGAATTTGGTCATAGCTTGGAGTACTATCGAAAGAAATGGTATCCAGTTGTTGTGTTTGGGGTTATTCAAGACAAAATGCAGATTCCAAAGAGAAAGAGATCTAGTTCTTCACATTTCAAAAAGTCCAAAAAGCAGCAAATCGAATGGGTTCCATACCAGTACATGTACATTGAACCATGGAGGTAGATTGAACATCAGAACGTATTTTTACAAATGCACTGGTTGGCTCCAAGATGGAAGGGGGCCATACTAAGAAATGATGATCTTGTGCGCACAGGAAAAATTATGATTTTAAAATCTTTTTACTAAAAATTCTACTTCATTTAGAAACTAATAGAAAGTTTAAAGATTTAAAGAGATTTTCTCAAGAAAAAAATGAACAAAGTCAGAAAACCTGAGAGAGAATGATCATTGAAGTCATATTTTCAATGGCCTGCTCACAATTCTTGCCGCCAAGGCCATTTGTGCGCATGCGTGCATAATTATGAATTTGTTAGTGAAGGGGTCTATTGCCACTGCAAACTTTGTGTGAACACAGGATCCTGAGTTGATCGGGAACAGCCAATCAAGGGCAGGACTGGAAACTTTTTCATGAATATTCAGTAGAGTGGTTATTCTGGGTAAGGTATAGGGTTGTGTGCATAAATTTATACATTACAAACAGGACACTGCATGTTATGACACAAAAGCTCTTCTATTTACTGTAGGGTTTATTCCCACCGGGAATTGATACTTTGGAAGCGATGCACTTTTTAGCAACTAGTATGTGGTTGTGTGAAGTTTGGTTTGGGACAAGTGACATGGCAGATTGATTGGAAAATGCAGAATTCTGCACAGTGTCAGCTCAACAGATGGGAAAACTCTTCATGTTAGTGTAGAAATTTTAAAAGCTTTCAGCATCAGTTATGAAATTTGATAAAAATTTTGTTATACTCTCTTAAAAAAAAACCCACAGGATTGTAATCAAGATCCAGTACTTAATTTATGCACACTGATCAACCGATCAAGTAAGGAGATTTGAGCCAAGGAGAGCTTAGGTCACATCAAACCTTTAGGCAATGAGAAGGCTTCTTACTCTACTGACTCTGTTGGGGGGGGGTAAGTACAGCTTGATGTCACTTTGTCACAACCCTTTGTGGGAAACACAGCACAGAAAAATGTAACTGTCAAGTTATCCACCTCCATCGCATCACCACCAATTGAATGGGTGTTGGAATAAGGAAGATTATCCATGTTGTTTAATTCTTAACCAATTTTGCCTTGTGGTTCGCTAGATGTCATTTGTGTCCGGGAGGTCCACCTGGAGCCACTGTTCCTCCCGTAGGTTTAAACAGGAGAAATTTATGCAAACAACCCATTGACCACCACTTGTTTCACATTGTTAAAGCAAAGTTTGCATAGGGGTTTTCTAGCAAACAATGAAGGGGCATTTTCTAGCGGGAATTTGACAGACACAGGCTAAAGTTTCTCGTGCACTATGATAAACATCAGTAAGTGTTTTGCAGACAGTAGGATTCCAGTTCAGTCAACTTACACAGTCACTACATACAAAACATTGCAACTGAAACTTAACCATGTGAAAATGACTGGGAAAAATTGTGAAAAGAATTCACATTCACAGTCCAATTTCCCAATTGTGAAAAAATGCCTGTGAAAAATTTTCCCACTTGTGAAAAATGTATGAAAAAATTTCCCACTTGTCAAGTTTCTTTTTCATAGAGGGGAAAAAAGTGTACAAAGTTTACTCAAAACATGTGCAAAGTTTGATACACTTTACTATGTTCCTGACCTTGTACAGGGATTCTCCTGACACCTTATTTACCTCTCTTAAAGCCATATCACCCTGTGGGAACTTACTTAAATACAAATTTTCAGGTGTCTCCCGCCCCTCGTCAGGTGCAAATGCTTGAATGTGTCCTTGAAGAACAATCTGACGTGCATTGTATTTCCCTCGATGAGCCACGATGCGGGGGACCCCCATAAGGAAGGAGGGGGAAGTCGTCGACGTTGCACAAACACATGCAATAGAAACATGAGGGGCAGTCTCAAGAAGTTGAGATAAAAATATTGAACAAGTGCCCTGGTGATGCGATGCTCAGGCAGGTAAGGGACGGGATCAAAAATACAGTGACCGTTCGAACGCGTCTGCATGCATTGCCTTCCGTTCTGCACACCCTCCCGTTCACCCCTGTTCCGAAGAGCATTTCCGAATGCGTTCCTGCCCGTTCCCTTGCATGAGTTGATATTGATATTGTTATGTTAAATGGCCGTTCCTGCGCGTGCGAGAAGGGTCACAACAAAGTCACAGCAAAGATGTGAAAAACATTCATACAAGCTGTTCTTGAGTCTTGGCTAAATAAGTGTCAACAGTGCTTGGTCCGATAAGATTTTTTCCTTCCTCTTAGAAAACGCTCAAGTTGCCCCTTTGATGTACTGACTTCCCACATTTTATACGTTCTTAATAAAAACGATTCTGGTCAAGGTTTTCGTTAAAAATGTCGAGGAGGAAAGAAATATATTTTGATCAGTTGGGTGCTTGGGATAAGAAAAAAATGTGAAGGGGTACAGGAAAAAATAAAAACCACGTGTGATCTTTGTTTGAACAGAAAAAACGCCAAGGAGGAAAGAATTTATTGATTGATGGGTTGGGATAGACGCTCCGAATAAAAATGCAGCGGTTACGGGAAAAAATAAAAACAAGTGGTCAAGGTTTTGATAGAAAAGAAATGCCGCCAAGGGAAGAATTGATATTGGCTGGTTGGGCGCTCCGACTAAAAAATGCAGAGGTGCTGTGAAAAATTTTAAAACCACACGTGGTCTAGGTTTGGATAGAAAATAAATGCCAAGGAGGAAAGAATGAATATAGTTTGATGGATTGGGATGGATACTCCAACAACAACAAAAATACAGTTGTGCAGGGGGGAAAATAAAAAGCACAAGTGGTTGAGGTGTGGATAGAAAATAAATACCAAGGAGGAACGAATTAATATTATTGGCGGGTTGGGTGCTCGGAATAAAAAATGCAGTGGTGCCGGGAAAAAGAAAAACCACAAGTGGTGTAGGTGTGGATAGAAAATAAATGCCGCGGAGGAAAGAATGAATATATTTTGATAGGTTGGGATGGATGCTCCGAATAAAATATGCAGTGGTGCCGGAAAAAAATAAAAACCACAGGTAGTCATGGTTTTGATAGAAAAGAAACGCCGCGGAGGGAAGAATTAATCATTTTGGCAGGTTTGGTCCTCCAAATAAAAAAACAGCCGTGGCACAGAAAAAAAATAAAAGCCTTAGAAAAATGCCGAGGGTTGGGTGCTTTGAATAAAATAATTGGGCAGTTGTGCAAGTGAAGAATGAAAAAGTGGCTCGGCAAATCCAGAAGATAAAAATTTCTAGAATAAATCCACCCCAAACCATGGACCACATGTGGCTGTCATGTTTCCTGGCCACTGCTGTTTTTTTTCTCTCACACATCCTTCCCGTCAAATACATCAATTCTTCCCACCTCAGCATTTCTTTGCTATCCAAACCTAGACCATGTGTTGTTTATTTTGACAACATTTTTTAAAATTTCGAGCATTTCTTTTCAATCCACACCTAGATCCGTGTGGTTTTATTTTTTCCCTGCACCACCACACATTTTTTTT